TTAGGGAGAAGAGAAATATAAATTAATCAAATATTACCATTTTCTCATAACTATATTAGTCGTTGCATTACTCTATCCTTCTTTCTATATGTTTCCTCCATTTCTTACTTCTATTTTCCATCTTAAAATTTTCAGTTGAATTTCTATCACAAGTGATACTTTACTATATATTAATATGTAGCTATTTATTAATGTTATATACATTTATATCCATCCTCCTTTATTTAGTAAGTATTCATAATTTTTAGGTAAATTAAATAATTTGATTCTCTTTTTATAATTTATGATATCACCAATTCCATATTATCGAACTCTGGATAGAACCTCTACTTATAATCCTCATATAAAAAATTTGATTTCTTTAAAGTTACTCAAAAAAGCTTCCAAATATATATTAAATAAACCAGGAGATAAAGATGATCCTTAAGGTACTCCATCCTTAAAACAATACAATTTATTTGAATCTGGTTCTCTATAGTATATTAAGGAATGCATCGCTTCTAAAAACTAAATTTCTTTCTCTTCAAAAATTTATTTCTAATCCTATCTTATTTTTTATAGTTTTAAATCTTATCAAATAAGTTTATAAAATTCATTTAAGCCCCTCTTTTTAACAAATCCATTTTATCTTATGCTCATTTTCTTCTACATGAACTTATCTAACTTGTCTTAGGATCATAATTTATATAAATTGCTAAAAATTGTAACTGGTCTAAATTATCCCTTAGTAGGTATTTAAGGATACTACTAACTTCGCCTCGCCAATTTTCTTATTAATTCTTACTGTGTCAATTTACTAAAGATCTTCAATCAACTCCCATCACAACTAATAGCTTTATTTTTGAACATATAATTTATAATTTTTAAATCTCTTTATCAGATGATTTATTCAAATGATATAAGGTACTTAATTGGATAATAAACTTATCTGTTCCAAACAATTTTTCATTACCCAATTGCAACAAAATTCTCATAAAAATATTTAAATATTCCCCCTTACTTCTTTTAAGGATTCAGGTTCTTAATCATTTTAATCATCTTAAAAGCCTTTTATTATTATTTATCGCAAAAAAACCTCAGCAATTTTATGAAGCATTACCTGGATAGGCTACACATTATCAATTAGCCTCTAAATTTTTTTTGATTGATGACTTTAGTTTTTCTGTTGTTATGGATTACCTGAAAATAAAGAGGAAAATTATTCTGCAATATATTTTAGATAAAAGAAAATTGTTACTTTTTCAATAAATAACAACTATGCTCGACTATTAACATAAACGAATCTTTGTCAAATAAATTTTACATTTTATTAATTGAATCTAAATATAATATCTTCTAGCAAAAAAGAAGTGAATTTTAAAAAATAAGAAAAGCAATAAAGCTTATCAAAAAAATTGAAACAAAATACAATATACTTCATCAAATTAACTAAAATATTCCCTATAAATTAAATGAGTTAGTTTTTAAAAATGATATTTCTTTTAATAAACTGAAATTGATTCAAGCCAGATTCTGATTCACCCAATAAACATGATATCAGGAATCTTATATCATTAGATTCTATAATGTTTTATAACAATAATAAGTAATGTAATTACATGATTTCTTAAAGTTTTTATTATAGTAATGCCGAATTCTGTTCCACAAGTATTTTTTTCTTTTCCTTCATTTATGAATTTAAAAATTCAGTTTAAATTTTGTATTCTCAAATTATGTTTATATCTGTTTCAATCTTCCTCATTTTATTTATATAAATTATCTGGACAATGTCATCTCCTTCTTTGCCTTACATCATTTTGAACAAGTTTGTAAATGCAAATAAGTGGTAGTTGTCTTTTACTAGCTAAACTTCATTTCAAATAATCGAAGGTTTTTTTAGCTTTCAAATCAAAAACCTTAGGTTTATTGTTTCACAACTAAAAATAATTTAGAAATTTATTGATTTATATATTCATTTTTTTCATATATATTTTCTTTGTTAATATTGATTAACTTAGCTGTTATATTTAAACCCAAAAGTGCCTATATTTTTAAAATCTATAAAATAAATGCCAAAAATTAAAGTAAACTTTCCCCAATAAATTAAATTATCTCTTCTCCAATTTTAATAATTAATTATTTAAAAAAAAATTTGTTTGAGGTGAAATTCTTAGTTAAATTTTTTATATAACTTTTTTTAAAAATTTTATTTGAATTATATATAAAAGAAAATTTTTAAATAGATGCTTTTCTTCTCTTTAAAATCTCAATATGAATAAAACATTAAATCAAATTACAAATAATGAATGTAAAATAATTTTTTTAAATTTTACAAATCAACTCCACCTATAATAAAGCTTTATAGAATCTAATTAGATTAAATAGCTAATTGATAATAATTTATTCTGTGATTAATAATTAGTCAAATCTTTTTTATTTCTTTATATATTTAAGAAATTTTAATATCATTATATAAAGCTCAATTAATAATTCAATGAATTATCTCTATATTGTAAATTCTTATGATTTTTAAAACTTAATTCTTATTTAATATCTATGATGAAAAAGAATAATTTATTAATAATCCAAAATAATATATTCTATTAAGAATAAATTTCAAATTATGGTCATTAAGATTATAATTAAAAGAATTAAATATTCAGTTTTTATTAATTAATTAGAAATATTCTACTCTTATGAAATTATAAGAATAAATATAAGATAAACAACATTATAAAATTTGAAGTTAATAAATTTAATTGATAGGTAATTAATTCAATTAAGAAAATAGGTTACTTAATTTTAATTCATCTAGATTAATTATTGCATTTTCTTCTATTATAATATTAAAATGTAATTTTTCTGAAAAATATTAAAAATATTACAAACAAACCTCAAAATGAAAAATAATTGAAGTCTTTACAAATTCAAAATCAACATTTAAAAAATATATTTAACCAAATTAAATAATGAATATTTTTGTCTGTAAATGTATATAATTAAAAATTAGAATACTTGAATTTTTATTCTCAAAACTGATTTTGATTCTAAAATGTTGCTAATGATTTACTGCTGAATCAAAAAGCCTTAGTCATGCATAGATGAAATTATATATTGTTTGAATAATTTTAAAATTCACAAAATCAAGGTTAACAAGAGAAGATAGGCCATAAACTCTACTTATATTAAAAATGGCCTAATTTACAGATTTTTAATTTAAATTATTTACCATAGTAATATGAATAACCTCAATGGAATTAAAATCTATTTTTATAATAAAATCTTGCTAATTTAAAAATAATAATTAATATGAATGAAATAATTAGAAGAATTCATTTATAACCTTATAATTAATATATATAAAATTATTTTTCAAAATTTTACCAGAAAATCAAAAACTTACCATCATTAGTTAATATTCCAAATGTTGCCAAATCTTAGCATCTTATTTCTTCTACAATAATAAGTCCTCTATCAAAGGTCAATTTTAAAATGTAAATACTATATTTATGTTTGACTACTAATATTTCATTCAACTGATTATAAACTATGGGAAATAGACCATAATCACTTAAGTCATCTTTATTCTAAAGATAAATTGTTGAATTTTAATTCTCTTGAAAATTTTCATCCTAGATTTCAAATTCATTTAAACAAGCTTATCCTGATTCTCCACTAGAAACCCAAATAAATTTATGATCTGTTAAAAAGGCTAGTCTACAACCAAAATCAACAAAAGATTGTGNATGAAATTATAAGAATAAATATAAGATAAACAACATTATAAAATTTGAAGTTAATAAATTTAATTGATAGGTAATTAATTCAATTAAGAAAATAGGTTACTTAATTTTAATTCATCTAGATTAATTATTGCATTTTCTTCTATTATAATATTAAAATGTAATTTTTCTGAAAAATATTAAAAATATTACAAACAAACCTCAAAATGAAAAATAATTGAAGTCTTTACAAATTCAAAATCAACATTTAAAAAATATATTTAACCAAATTAAATAATGAATATTTTTGTCTGTAAATGTATATAATTAAAAATTAGAATACTTGAATTTTTATTCTCAAAACTGATTTTGATTCTAAAATGTTGCTAATGATTTACTGCTGAATCAAAAAGCCTTAGTCATGCATAGATGAAATTATATATTGTTTGAATAATTTTAAAATTCACAAAATCAAGGTTAACAAGAGAAGATAGGCCATAAACTCTACTTATATTAAAAATGGCCTAATTTACAGATTTTTAATTTAAATTATTTACCATAGTAATATGAATAACCTCAATGGAATTAAAATCTATTTTTATAATAAAATCTTGCTAATTTAAAAATAATAATTAATATGAATGAAATAATTAGAAGAATTCATTTATAACCTTATAATTAATATATATAAAATTATTTTTCAAAATTTTACCAGAAAATCAAAAACTTACCATCATTAGTTAATATTCCAAATGTTGCCAAATCTTAGCATCTTATTTCTTCTACAATAATAAGTCCTCTATCAAAGGTCAATTTTAAAATGTAAATACTATATTTATGTTTGACTACTAATATTTCATTCAACTGATTATAAACTATGGGAAATAGACCATAATCACTTAAGTCATCTTTATTCTAAAGATAAATTGTTGAATTTTAATTCTCTTGAAAATTTTCATCCTAGATTTCAAATTCATTTAAACAAGCTTATCCTGATTCTCCACTAGAAACCCAAATAAATTTATGATCTGTTAAAAAGGCTAGTCTACAACCAAAATCAACAAAAGATTGTGTAACAATTTATGAAAAATACCATTAATTTTATTTTTCCTTACGCCAGATTATTATTTATCTATCCTCTCCACATGATACCAAGATATTTTAAGATTGATTTAAATCTAAAGATAAAACTGAATCTTAATGTTTATTTAATAGATATTACTCTTTTATCATCAAATTCTCTAAATCTAAACTCCAAACCTTAATTATGTAATCTGCACCACCAGTGATCAAACTATTTTCATTTTTATTTAAAATCATGCATAATATATTATGTTTGTGCCCTAATTTAGTTTCAAAGCTTTTCCAACATTATAATTGTGTATATTTCCAAATTACTATCAAATGATCACTTGAGAAAAGAGTATTTTAGTAATTACTAAATTTTAAGCAAGTTACATAACATTAATGACCCTCTAAATTTGTAAGTTCATCACATTTTCCATTTAAAAAATTCCATATTTTAATTTTATTATTCAAACTAGTAGCCATTATAGTTCCCAGATAATTAAATGAAATACTTTAGCACATTTATTCTTATTAGCAAAATGGAATTAAATCTTTTATTAGTGTAAGTTTATAATCTAGATTTTTACTTTGATTATTGCTTTGATTCATAATTTTCTTTTATATCTCTTTATTAATTTAATTTTAGAAAATATCTAGGAAAAACTTTTATAACCAACTTCATTCATATAAATAAGTCTAATTTTATCTAAATATAGAAGAATCCTTGATATTACAAACACAACGAATCATCTATTAAATCTTATTAACCAAAAACCAAATTATTATACTTTCCTTTAGTAACTGATTTTTTAACGAAAAATATAAATAATAGTACGATAAAAAATTCAATTTCCTAGATATCGTACTTATTTGGTATATATTTATGGAGAAAATCTTTATTCAATTTTATTTTGTAAAATTGGGCAAGCGAAAATCAAATAATGCCTATTTTGATGAGAGAAATTTAACTTTTTCATCAATTATGCTAATATTAACCAAATGCAGGGATACCTCATTTTTGATATAACTTGTTCTTAACAAGTCTTTATAAAAAAGGTTATTGAGCAAAAATTAAATAATTTCAACTAATTAAAACTGTATTGCTTTCAATTTTAATTGTAAAATTATCAAGTATCCTATCTACTTAGTTTAAATAATAAATGTTTTGAATAAATAAGTTAAGAATGTTCTTTTTAAACATAAATACTTTAGTAATCTATTTTAACTAATAATTATAAAATGATTATAAATGACAGTTTATATTTAATTATAACTAAATAATCAGTTAATTGCTATAGGAAAAGAACAATATTTTACTTTTAGATGGCGAAATTATATAAATAATACTAATTGTTAAGTTATCATTTTTTAAAAGTTTTATAATGAAGAAACAAAAATATCTGTTAATAATAAGTTCATAAAATTAGTTTAGTTCTTTTATTATGTGATACATAATTTAATAAGAAGCAAAATAATAACAAAAAGAGAGAACTATAAACTATATTAATTATCATCATCTCTGAAAAAACATTTAATTTAACTATCGTTAGAATCCAAAAGCATTAAATTTTTTGAAATATATGATTTTTTCCTCACACAGAAAATTACCTAAACTGATAAAGTTAATCCAAAAAATGATTTTCATTTAAATATTTGTTTCAAAATAAGTAATGAAGATAAGTTTTCAGAAATTTTTATAAATTTCTGAAATTCACATTTTTATTAATAGACTCATAACACTAAAAATCAGATATTTTTTTCAATCTAATCTAATTTAATTTATTTTATTTCTCAAAATAACAATTAATTCAAATAAAACTAAAAATATCAAAAATTCAATTATTATAAAATCCTGAGATATAAAATGGAATAGATTTTCCTTTTATTGAATGAACAATAGAAATATGTTTAAGTGAAATCAAAGATATAAATTTAAATATGATTCAAAAGTTACTATTTAATAAACATATCAATACAGATAAAGATCATATTTGCAGCCATAGAGTTTGATGGATTGCTGGCTTAATAAACTAATTCAAAAAAAGGGGAAATGAAAGGTGGGGGTTGATACATTTTAGATTATGAATCTTAATTTAGCTGATATTATAAATATCTAATTCAAATAATAATCTCTCATATGGCTAAATAAATATAAATCATTTCAACCTTATCAGCCTTAACTGAATAAAATCCTAATAAAAATTTTCTTCTGATATTATATCTTTTTAATTTATTTATGAATTAATTTATTGACGTTAACAGATTTTTAATATATTCTTTTATAAAGATGAAAATAAATTGAAAATAGCTATTTCTGTGATATAATGGTATTGTTTAAGTGAGTTGCCAATTTATAACTTTTTTTCATAATTAAAAAAGGCAAATCTTCTAATATTTGTTTGGATGAGGTTATAAAAATTATTATTCTACATCCAAAATATCCTAAAAATAATATAATATTTAATTTGATATCTATATATTCTTTTAAGTGAAATATTAAAGGAGTTTTTCAATTGTTTAAAAATGAATTAATAAATTATTAATCAATAAAAATACGATAATGCAAGTGAAAATTTATTAAAATGGAGATCATTATGCTGGACAAATGATAAATGGTGAAAAGTATGGAAAAGGTATATTTAAGTGGGTTAATGGAGATGAATACAATGGAGATTGGAGTAATAATTCTAGAACTGGAAAAGGCAAAATGATATTTGCTGATGGAAATTCCTATGAAGGAGATTATTTAAATAATGAAAGACAAGGAGAGGGTAACTATAAATGGGCTAACGGTGATGAATATTAAGGAGAATGGATGAAAAATAATAGGAATGGAAAAGGTAGAATGATTTCAGCTAATGGTGATTAATATTTAGGAAAATGGTAAAATAATCTTAAGCATGGTAAAGGTCTATTTAAAGAAATTAATGGAAATTAATATTATGGAGATTGGGAAAATGATAAGAAAAGTGGTAAAGGTAAATAGGCATTTTTTAATGGAAATTAATACGAAGGAGATTATTTGGAGAATGAGTTAAATGGTAAAGGTCGATTTAAATGGGCTAATGGTGATTAATATTATGGAGATTGGAAAAATGGATCTATGACTGGATAGGGTCTAATGTCTTATGTTACTGGAGAATCATATGATGGAGATTGGATCAATAACCAAAGAAATGGATAAGGTACACTTAAATGGGCAAATGGAGATGAATATTTTGGAAATTGGTAAAATAATTAAAAGAAATGGAAAGGGTTTACAAAAATGGAATAATTAGATTTAATACTATGGAGATTGGGTTGATGATAAAAGGTATGGAAAAGGAAAATGAAATATGATGATGGCTCTTAATATGATGGGGAATGGATAAATGACAAAATATATGGTTAAGGGGAATTTATATTAGCTGAAGGTGAAAGACATTTTGGTAAATGGATTTTTGATCAATAACAATGAATTATTATAAATTTATTGATATTATAAATTCATATTTTTTATTAAAAAATATTAAACATTTTAAATGAATTTAATTTTATTTGAATTGAGTTCTTATAAATAAATATATCATATTATTTCTTGTTCAATTTAATTAAACCAAAAGTTATTATTAAATTTTATAAAAAATAAATTGTATATTATATTATACATATATGTAATTATAAATAGGCAAAGTTTACAGAGAAATATTATATTTTAAATTAATAGACTTTTTATAAAATATTGATAAAATATTTAGCTGTTTATCCCAAAAATCTATTTTATTTAATATTATTTTATCATCATGTTTGCTTATATCAAAATTTATAACATAAAAATTATAAAATACTTCATAAAATTAAAAATATTAATATAAAGTATTATTATTTTTTAAACTTGAACGTAATCTTCTAATTAAGAAAATAATTTCTATTACAAATTGATTATTTTTTATTTGATATTAACTCCAAGAATTTCATAAACTTAAATAGACTAAACTCTACACCTTTTATATTGGCTAAATTTATTTTTTTCTTCTTATATTTGTTGTTAACATTGAAACTAAAAATTTTGAGTAAATCAAACCAAGTTGGAGTAAATTTTCTAACTTGAAATTTTACTCTTGCGTTTTGAAAAAAAAAGAATATCCCAATTCAACCCTAAATTAATATAAACTATTTTAATAAAACTTTATTAATGTTGACTTTTTTCTAACACTTTTTCTTAGGATTCAAAACTGAAGCTATTTTGATAAGCAATTGTCTCAATTTGATTCAGAGAACAATCACTTTTTAGCCATTTCTTGAAGTTTTTTCATTTTTTAAAAAACCTAGTAAATAGTCAATTAACAAACATGCTGTTTTCCTTTGATTTCACTCTAATTAACCCTCTATTCATTAAATAAAGATTTTTGCCAATTAGTTGCACCATATCCAACTCCCCTTTTTTGAGGCACTTTTACCTTATTATGAATAATTCATATCACAGAATTACACAATAGATGGTAATTTAGTGCATTTTAATTTTTGAGTTTTTCAAATCTAATTGACGAGGTGAATAGTCTATCTTAAGTACAGAAATTGATATGATTACCTTATTAATAATATAAGCAAGCCATGTATCATAAGAAATTCGGTTAGTCTTGTGGAATCAACTAAATTCATAATTTTGAATTTGATCAATAATTGTTGAAGGTATTTTTGTTTTATTCCAAAATACTCCATTGCTTAATAAGTTAGTATATATTTTCACAACTTATAAATAAAATACTATGCTAAGTTAATTCATGGATAGTCATTATCAGAACTGCTAAATTTTAAATGACTTTAACTGATAATTAAAGAATAAGAGCACAATAACACTAATTTTAAATTGATAATTATCAACCGCTTCTTTGATATTTTATAAAAAATTATCCTGTTTTATTGGAGTTGTATGACAAAGGTCGACTAAATAAATTAATTCTTGAATTCAGTCAAGTACTTATACAATAGTTGAAGTTATTGATATACTTAAATCACTATTACATTATTTAATAGTTGGATCAAATAAAATAGGTTTATAATTGATTGGTTGAAATCTAATAAATTACTTTATTTGCTTTTTAATTCTATTTGTATTTTCAATAAAAATTATTCAGTGAATAGATAAATATTTTCAGTATTGCCCAATCTATTTATTTAATCAATTAATTCAAATAAATAGTTTAATTATAATATTATTCATTTACTATTTTAAAGCTCTCTACATCGTGCCTCTACAACATCTATACCCTTTTTAAATGAATTGTAGAATTGTGATAATAATTTTGTAAAAAAACCTTGATGAAAATTCGATAAAAGTTTCTACTTATATAAAATAAAAGTACAGAATAATGAGTTTGTTAATTATCTATTGATTTATAGATGATTTATTCATCACCTGTTAGATTAGGATAAAATTTGCATGATTTAAGTAATTTTGTTTTCATCTACATACTTCTGTTTTCAAGATCAAAAGTGATATCTTCTAATGTTAAACACCAAATAGCAAATTTGCGTACATAAACCTAAATCTATTTAAAAGTTCTTACAATTCTTTTTATTTACATTTTATTATCATCGTCAACAATCATATCTACAACTTAGTTGAATTGGATAAAATCAAATTATTTGCATGGATATTTCCTCCAGAACCCTTTAATTACAGTCTCCCAATCAAAGTTAAAAGTGTTTTCAGAGTGAATCTACATGATGTCAAATTAGAATTTTCTAAATTGGAATTTAATTCTTAAATATTTATAAAAAATAATTATAATATTGCATATATAGAGTTAAGATATAATGAAGGATCCGAATTCAGGAAGGGAATCAGTTCAATAGAGATTATCTAATTTGTAATTTTCTCGTTTATGCAAATCTATCTTTTTTTAAAAGGATTTATATTTTGTATAAATTAATAAATACTTTGTATGCATTTGAAGAATAGAATATTTTTTTTAAATATAAAAAACATACTAATAATAATAGAATCCTTAAAATATTCAAAATAATTGTCAACATCAAAATTATATATATTAAAAAAAAAAAAATTACGTAAATATAAAAAACATAATAACAATATTAGAATTATTTAAAATAATCCAAATAATTATTATCATCAAACAAAGAATTTTTTTTAAATATTCAAAATAATTGTCAACATCAAAATTATTAATAGTTAAAGAAATTACTTATAGATAAATAACATACTAATAATTATAGAATTGATAAAAATATTCAAAAATAATTGTATTTATTCACATTATTTATAAATTTAGAAAATGATTTGAAATTATTTAAAAAAAAATATAAAAAAATTAAGAAATTATTTCAAATATTCTAAATAATTGTATATATTTACATAATTTAGAAAATTTCAAACTGATTTGATACATTATTAAAAAATTAAATAAAATTTTTTTAAATACTCAAAATAATTGTGAATATCTAAAATTTTGTATAAAATAATTTAAATATATGTTAAACACTTTGAAATTTGATTTTTCTTCAAATTAAGGAGGAATCAAATATTTAAGAATTTAAAAACTTAAAGCATTATCCTTAATTTGAAGGAAAACTATGCTACTAAAATCAAAAATCAAGAAAAAGAAAAAATTAAATTATTAAGAATAAAAATCTACCCTTAACTTTTGATTAGAGGGTTTAAATAAATAAGTTACAAGATGAAAATAAGAATTCTATCATATCAGGTATTTTATAAATTTTCACAGTTTAAGTGAAATAAAATAAGATTAGACTTGCAAATCCAAAGAATAAATTTTAGTCGCAAAGATATAACAATTTGGCTGATAGAATTAGGATCTTCTTATTCAAGTAAGATAATCTTCAATGCTCAATTATTTCCTTTAGCATTTTTGATTAATTTCCTAAATCAAAGTTATATTTATAATAATTTAGAAAAGTCTTATGTTTAAATAACTTGGGATGTAGGGTTCCTTCTTTAACATCTATGAGTTTTTTGGTAAAATTGGAAATGACAAATAAACAAAAATTTTTATATTGTTAATTTGTAGTTATAGGTTCTGTTAAAGAATCAACACAAAAGTCATCTTTGCTTTAAGTATTTAATTTGTTCCTTGGAAAAGTTTTTATATTATTATGTTTACTAGAGTCGGGAACAGAAAAATCATATATTTTCTTGATTTTATAATTTAAAAAATAAAAAAAGCGAAAGATCATCATAAAGAAAGATACTTTTTTTTAATAATTGACAATTGCAGTTTTCATAAGTCAAAGATAATGGAAGAAATCTTTGACAAGAGTACCATTTATATTTACAACTGTATATCGTCCAAAATTTAATAAAATTGAGCATATGTTTTGGTTGTCAAAGAGAAGATTAGTTCCGCTTAAACTACTTCAACTAGCTAATTTATTTATTAAATACATACATTTTGAGTTCTGTAACACAGAATTTAATGTCATACTGGTGGTAAGTTTAAATTTTAAATAATAAGCAATATTTATTAATGTATATACAGATTCCTCCATAAAAACTTTAACCTAACAATAATTCTCCTTTATTAATTGGTAGCATCCCGAATTCATTGAGATATACTTTCATTTGCAAGTTTTGTAATCTAGAAATTCCACTGACAGAAATAAATTAGCTGATTGGTCATTAATTTTAATGTTAATAAAATGCTTCAAATAATCATTAAAAAATTTTAACAAATGAATAAAGCCAAATCTAGTAAATCGAAAAGGAATTAGATAAATGTATAAATCAAGAGAATCCATCTATTTTATTGAATCAAGATATTTACACTATTGATTAAGAAAAATAGTTTTCACTAACTTTTTTACTATCAAAATTTTGTTATTAACTTAAAGGAATTAAAAAAAGTTTAAGCATACATCTGTTAGATTTTGGTTAGAGATCAAAGATCAACTTTTAAATACTAATTTTTTGTGCTTTCTTTCATCAAACTCTTCATTCTAAAATGCTTATTTAAAATATAGAATTGTTTTCACATTCTGTCAATCACTTTTGGTTGAAAATTTTAGGCTTCTTAAGCGATTGAACATAAAGAATTAGCAGGTTTTGATGCATTCTAAAGTAATAAAGCATAAGGCTATAAATAGTTTAATTAGATTATTTTATTATTAAAATGGTTTCGATTTTATATTAATTCTATCACTATTAATAGTTTTTATCAGTATAATCAACTTTCCATGATTAAAATCCAATTTATTTGACTCATTTGCAGTCAAGCCTTTTCAATTAGAGCTTGACAATAAGAAAAGTATCTGAAAAAAATAAAAATTCAAAATAAGTTGGTCTATTTCTATAAATTGATCTTTCTATATAAGCATTTGCAACCATTTATTTCTTATTTTGATTTTATGAAAATTTATTGAATATCTTGTTGGGTACAATATACTAAAAGATGCAAGAGGTATCATCCATTTTTTTAAATATCCATTAGCAAATTTTAGATAATAAATATTAATATTAATTACAAGCTGATTTATAATCCTATAATTTGTATTATGGTGCAATTTTTTTTAGATTTAAAATTCTTTATTTATTTTTTCATATAAAAACAAAGACTCCAATTATATCTAAACTTTTATTACTATTTTTTTAATCAAATAAATAAAATGATTCTAAGTTGGTTGTGTATTCACAAGCAACTCAAATATATATTTATATAATTAATTAGAAATTTTCATTTAATAGAATTACATTATAAAATAATAGCCTAGTTGGATTTTGAAAACATTCTTAATAAAATCCTTAATTTTTTTTTGATCAAAGCAAGGTTTGTTAATGTAAAACAATTAGACCTCTAAGTTTGATAATGAGAATATTATTATCAATTGTGTAACATACATAAAATTAGAAAAACTTGGTGAAGGGACAGAAAGTAATGTTTATAAAGGGCTAAATACTTAAACGAATGAAATTGTAGCTATTAAAGAATACAAATAATAAATTAATGAAAAGGAATACAGTGCATTGTAAGCACTTTAAAAATAGAATTTGAAATATATTATTGGAATAAAAGAAGTATTATATTAGGAATAAAAAGAAACAATAATTATTATGGAATTTGCTGATGGAGAATTCAATGAATTTATGAAAACAGATGATTATAAACAATTAAGTATTGATTAAAAAAATAAATATTTTATTTAAGTAATAAAATAAAATGATTATATTAGATGGCAAAAGGAGTTAATTAACTACATGGTTTGGGATTATTTCATAGAGATTTAAAACCAGTAAACTTTGTCTATTTTAATAAACCAAACAATTAAAAAATTATTAAATTGATTGATTTTGGAAAAGCAAGAAATATAGATAATAATAATGATGAACTTCGGAAAACATATTAAGTTGGAACACCTTAATATGGAGCTCCAGAAATTATTACGGGTGATTATGATAATTAAATCGATATCTGGTCTTTGGGACTAGTTTGGTGGGAAATGTTAACAAATGAACCATTCTTTAAAAGTATCAATTAAAAAAAAAAATACAATCAATAAATGATAGATTCTGAAATTGATTCTTGTAAGTTTATATAAGAAAAAGAGAGTAATTTTCTAAAAAAAATGTTAAATTTAGAAGCTTCTAAACGACTTTAATTAAAAGAAATTATATACGCTTATAAGAAATAAGATGGCAAATAATAAAATTTAATCAATATTAATTAAAATTAAAGCACATACAGAATAATAAATAAAATTGGTTAAGGGGCAGAATGTATTGTGTATAAAGGGTAAAATACTTAAACGAATGAAATTGTAGCTATTAAAGAATACAAATAAATAAATCAAAATGAATTAAAAGCTATTTAAGCAATTAACTAAAAGAATTACAGTCATATAATTGGAATAAAAGCAGTCTAATAAAATTCTAATTCATGTATAAAAATAGTTATGGAATTTGCAGATGGAGATTTTTATAAATTTATGTCAACATAAGATTATTAAAGATTGGGCTATGATTAAAAAAATTAATATTTTCTTTAAGTAATTTAATTATATGATAATTTTTAGATAGCAAAAGGGGTTGATTAACTTCATGATTTGGGATTTTTTCATAGAGATTTAAAACCAGAAAATTTTGCATTAATTGATCTACCAAACAATTAAAAAATTATTAAATTGATTAACTTTGGTTTTGTTAAAGAAACTGGAAATTTTATGGCAAAGACCGCATGCGTTGGAACGCCTTATTATATAGCACCAGAGGTCTTAAAATATTTTTAAAATTAATGTTATTATGACAAATAAGTTGATATTTGGTCTTTGGGAGCCATTTGGTATGAAATGTTAACAGGATAAAAATTATTTAATGGTAATTTTTATTTATAATCTTAGGTAATAATTAAGATGAAATATTTAATTAAATCTTAAATAGTAGCTAAAAATAAATTGATTAACTAATTTAAAATAATCAATATATACAAATAAAAGAAAAAGAATTAATCAAAAGGATGCTTAGAAAAACACCAATAGAAAGAAAATCATTGAAAGAAATAATTGCAGCTTATATTTAATAACAAGTTCAATATTAACCATTTCAAAATTAATAATTTCTAAATTAACAACCTCAAATCCAATAAAATTAGAATTTATACCAAAATTAATTTTAATAATTCTAATTCTAATAATAATAATAATAAAAGCTATAATTTAATTAAATGAATCCTCAAATATAACCAACGAATAATATTTAATTTCCTAGTAATTCAACATAAATAAGATTTAAATAATAGATTTAATAAGAAACAAAACAAAAAAACATGGAGGAAGAATTAAAATAAAAAAGAGAAGATTTAGAAAAGTAAAAAGAGAAAGAGTTTGCTGAAAAATTAGAAATAGCTAAATAATAATTACAATAAGATTATGAAAAGGAAATAAGATTAAAAGAGAATGAATTAAAATAGTAACAAGAAAAGGCTCAATAATAAGATGAGATGATTTAGTAAGCAATTAAGTTTTAAAATGAAATGAATAATTTCAAATAACAGAAAGAAGAAGAATATTAGAAAAATATTGAATAGATTTAAAAGGAGGCTTAAAAGGGTATGTAAAAAGAAATTGATCAATAATTATAAGATTATAAAAAATAGATTAAAGAATAATTAGAAATAGAAATTGAGGAAAAATATAAATAAGATTAAATAAATAAAGAAAATGAATTAAAATAAAAACAAGAATAAGAAAATAAAAAATAATTAGAAGAAAAAAAATAATCCTTGATTATTTAATTGCAAACTTAGTCAAATAATATCTAAATGTTTATATCAAATCTAAATTAAAAATTAGTACATATAAATGATATAGACACATAAGTTTAAAATAAAAATGAGCTAATAAATTTAATAAATAATGAAATCTAAAAATAAAATAAAAAACAAAATGAAAATGAAGAAAGTCAACAATAAATTTAAAAAGCTTCATTATTATAGGAACTCAGTGGATTGGATAATAAAATATCTTAAGAAATGTCATAAAATATAGAAGAATAAAATAAAGTTATTAATAAAATTAGAGAATAATAAATATAACTTGAAAAGGATGTAAGTGAAAGAGAGAAAAATATTTTTTAATTATAATTTACTAAAGTACAAGAATAGTTTAACTTATTTTAAGGAATTATTTAAAAATTTTAGGAGAAAATTAAGTTTTATGACAAAGTTTCATTTTAAATGTAAGAGGAAGAAAAACTTCATGAAGTTATTGGATAATATGAAAAACTATTAATATAATTCTAAGTCTTATAATCATTAGTGAAAAATATTAATTAATTTGAGTTATCTTAACAAGTTATTAATTATTAAACCTTTAATATTAAGGTTGAAGAAATTTAATAATCATAAAATAGACTTAAAAATTAAATTGATGAATCAAATAAATCAATTGAATAAACTGATATCAAATTTATTAATGAACACCGTAGGTAATTAGATGTATTAGCCCATAATTTAAATGATTACTTAGATAAATTTAAATATCTGTCTAAGAATGAAAAATATAAAAATAAAATTGATTAAATAATTTCTAAAATAGAAAATTGTTTTAACTAGTTAAATCAATTGAATTAATTATTAACATAAGGAATATTTTAAAATTATCAATAGTTTAATCAAAAAATAGATTCAATCAATCAAAATTTATATGAATTTTAAAAATAACACAACTAATTGCATGAATAAATTTATCAAGATTAATAAATTCAATAACAAAATGATGAAAGAACAAAAAAGTTAAAAAATATTGAAGGATAATTAAAGGAATTTACTGATAAAATGAATTCACTAAAAACTTAGATAAATAATTTAATTAATAATCAATATTGCAATAATGAATATACTAGAAATTTAATAATGGAAAAATAAAGTAAAATTGATCAAAATATTAATTAAATTTAAAATTAATTTAAAAATTTTAAAGACTTTAATTAACTTACACAGTCAGAAATTAACAATCAAATAAGCTCTTTAGAATAATTTTAGGAGAAATTAAAAAAATAAATAGATGATGAATAAGAGTAAGTTATATAATTATAATTTATAATTTAAAAAATAGGAGCAGAAAATAAAAGTGAATAAGAAAAAGAACTTTTACAATAAACTAATAAATTATAATAAAAATAAATGCAACTTTCAAAAGCACTTTCAACAGTCTATATTGAATAAGATTAAATTCAATAATATAGGAGAAAAAAGAAGGTTTACTAGTACAATTGAAAGAGGAAATAAAAAAATTAGAGGAATATAACGAAATAAACAATGAAAATTAGAAGTTATTTAATGAAAAATTATAATAATATAGAAAATAATAAACATCACCTAATTAATAGAATAAAATTTAAGAATTACTTTAAAAATAACAAAAATTTAATTTTGAAAAAACCTTAAAATTGAAATACATATTGGGGAAAGTGCGAAATAAGCCAAATGAATTATAATTTGAAGATATCAACAATAATCCTTTTGATTAATTTGATGTTTTAAAAGAAAACGAAAAAAAATTATCCTAAGAAATAAATAGCATAATTTCCTAAGAATTAAATTAACAATTAAATCCTTCATATTATGATAAATTAACAAAAAAAATAAATAATTTAATTTCTGAAATAGATACGTTAATTTAATAAATTCCTTAATAAAATTAAATATAACGATTTTAAAATTAATATAAAAAAAATGTAGAATAATTTTAAATATTATATGCTTTAGTTAATTATATAATGTAGTATCACTTAACAAGATATTTTGAGAGAATAAAAGAAAATGAAGATAAATCAAAGGATAAATAATAAAATTTTAAAGAAGGCAGTTATATAAAGGCCTTTCATGATAAATAAAATGAATAAACGAAAGAGAGCACTAAAAAAGAGAAGGAAGCTTAAGATTTATTAAAGATCTACGAAAATATTCTATTTAATAATTACTCTAAGAAGCTGATTGATGAAATGGAAAGAGATTATTAAACAATCAAGAAGGAAATTGAAACTTAAGAAAATTTTATAAAATAAAAAAATTTAGTTAAACTAAGAGCATGTATTAAAGACTAGAAAATTATCAAAGAAATTATAAACGATAAATAATATTATAAGATTACAGAGTTTGCATAGATGTTAATTTTTTAAATAATTATGAAATGAAATAATAATTATATTAATTGAATAAGTATTTAAATTAGAATGTAACCAACTATATTTTTTATCTAAATAATTATAGAGATAATGATTTAAGCCACATTTATTTAATGGTTTATTGTTCTATAAAATATTATAAAAATCTATCCTAAAAGATATTTAACATTAATAAAATGTTTGGTATTGTTTCTATAAAAACAAGAAATGAAGGATGCTTAATTGTATTAATCGATATTATAATGAGGTCAAAAATATAGAATACAAATATTTTAATTAATAAAAAGGATTAAATAACACAAATTATAAAATCATTATTAACTTTTTCGAATTATATGTTGTGTTTATTTAAGTAGATTTATAATTGTATCTTACTTTTTAAGTTTTCTCTTATTCATTGAATGTTGCAGGGATGAATTCAAATTATTTTTATATTACTAATATAATTTTTAGAATAAATACCAAAAATAGTATTTAAGAAATATTGTTATTAGGATAATAGTACTTAAATTCTTTAACTATTTCAAAATCATTAAAGATTTCAAGATATTATCCTCTAATTAGTTTTTATCCATTTATATCTTCATCTGAAGAATCATCAGATGTAACTTTAATTGTTAATCCTCTTTAAATATTAAGATTGTTAATATCTTTACTTTGTTTACTTTCTTTATTATTTGTAGTAAGAGTTTATTATCTCTCTCTTTGTTATTATAACTAATCTTCTTTTTATTTAATCTTCTCAAATTAAATCATCATACTTTATTCTAATGGTTTATATTCTTATTATGGAAAATGGCAAACCTAATTTTAAGTAGGTTCTTAAACTGCAATCTATTTATCTACAAATCTTTATTTATTTTTTAACATTTGTTCTTCTAAATATTGATTAGTTAAATTATTTTCATCTTCAGAAAGATCATCTTCATCAACCATTTTAGTGTTTATCTTGTTAGTTGATTATTTTTTATTAATTTCTTATTGATCTTAATCACATTTATAATCTATTTAATAAATTTCAATATTAGGTTTGAGATTACTATTTTCAATAGACTTTTGGCTTTTAGAATAATCTAATTAAATAGGTGATTCATCTAATTAATTTTGTTTATTAGATGGTAATTCCTAAGCCTTTTCATTTTAGATTATATAATCTTATATACTTTATTTTCTCAAAATGTTTTTTTATCCATTAGTATTCTTTTACTATTATTAAGATAAAATTAATTAATTATTATATCCAGATAATTTAGTGTATCTTTCAGACCTTTCTTCTCTTTCACTAAATAATCTTATGTATTGTTTTTAATTGTTTTTTATATTATCACACTAATCTGTATGTTTTCTTTCAAATTTTTATCTAATAGAATTTCTTTTCTTCACCATTCTTTGTTATATTTAAATTGACTCTTTGATATCAGTATCATTTGAAGGTAGGATTGAATTTTATTATTTTTCAATTTATGGCAATTATTCAGTTAGATTAATAGAATACTTATTTTCATCAGATCTTTCTTCTTTAGTTTATGGTTCTTCAATTATTGTTTATATTTTTTAATTATTCAAACCAGTTAATAAACGAATATCTTAAGATTTACTTAAAGTTCTAAATTGATTATCTTTTTCCAAAGGTACTTCTTAATTTTACATTACAGATTTATATCTTAATGAATTGTGATTTTAAACTTAATGAGTATTACGAAGAGATTAATTAGATATACAATTAATTGAAGTTGGTATATTTTATAATAGAGATACTTGTTTAGTAAATTAGTTTGATAAAGTATAAGAGATTTTCTCTTCATATTATTATTATTATTTAATGGCAGCTTATAATTCTAAATTACATATAATTTTTACATTCTTTTATTCCTTCTAAATTACACATCTCATCATTCTTCAAAATGTATTATATTACACTTTCCATAACAAGAAAATGATGTTTTTTTGTAGATATTCTTCTATCCTCATTAATTCTTTATTTATGGATTCTGTCTTAAGGTAAATTATGTCTTAATTAATATAATATTTTTGATCTATTTAAACCTCCAATAAGTAAAGGACAATCAAGGATGAAATGCTTTTATTTATGACAAATTGAACATTAAATTTAAATTTTATCGTATTATTTTTGTAGTCTAATGTCTTCCTCAAAGTTTTTATAGATTTCCTGTTAATTATAAGAATTTAATACATAGTCTATTTCACTTTATTTAATATTGTCAATCAAAGTCTAGCGATCAATTCCTAATAATTTTGTATTTTTTGTAGCAATTGCTTCATAATTATATTCATTATTAAGTATGAAATTCAACTAACCAACTAAACATGGTGTTTTTAATTTTTCAATTATTCTTTTTTTTTTATTTATAATTAAGTGCAAATCTAATTATCCATTTACTAAAATGTATAATATATCAGCTTTACTATTTGATTTAAATAGATATTCATCTGGTTATAATTGTAATTCTTTAAATTTTAGACAAAGAGTATTTAATAAAGAATTACTAAATTACTTAAATAAATTTATTTATTTCAGTAATTTGATATTAATATCAACAATCATTTGATCTTTTAATTGTTGAGGAATTTAATCTTGAAATTAGATTACTTCTTAAGAAGGTTTGCTCCAAAAATATTCAAAATATCTTCTGAACTTAATTTGTAATGATGCTGATACTTTTTAATTTTTTAGGAATTTATTTAAACTATTCATATTTGTCTTAAATAAAACAGATTGTTTGGACATATCTTAAAATATTTATCCTATACTATTGACTGAATAAGCAAAAGTAGCAGTAGATATTAATGTCATTATAATACAGTATAGTCTTTCAGTTAAATTGACTGGAATTATATCACCATAACCAATAGTTGTCATTGTAACAATACTCCAATAAAATGATACTACATATCTATCAATCCATATAGAATCTTATAATTATTCTTTTATCAACCAGGTTTCTGTATTTTGATTTCCCCAATTTCCCCAAACTCCTAACTTATGCCAGATACATGCTGAAAAATGAGCACATAATAAAATAAAAAAACTCTATTCTTAATATTCTATTACATTAATTTGACTAACTCGAAAATAGTTGTTTATTGTTATGTCAATTCGAGACGATTAAATAATGAATTCGTTAATTTGGATATTTGGAACACTTTCAAGATAATTACAAGTTCTAAATAAATAAAATCAAATTGCCTTCCAATTATAAATGGAATTATAAGAATTAAATCTATAAAAAATTCTTTCTTTAAATATCTCTTTATTAATCTTTTTCTATTTTTTATAAGTACTCCTTTCCTATAAATGCATGTATTAAATTTTATAATTATTTCCAATAAAAATGAATAACCAGGAAGTTATTCAAAAATAAAGTCTTTTAAAAGCCAATCCATTTCAAGTATCTCAATAAAAGATAATCTCAAAGTTACATAAAATACATTAATTGTAACAATACATAATAAATAAATATTCCAAATAATAATTATTGTGTCATCAGGTTCCAATAAAAAAAATTGCATAATTCTCTTGATATAATTTCTTCTATAATCTAAATTAATAAAAGTTACTACATTGCAAGAAATCCACTTTTTGATCTAATTTAATCATAAATGATTAAGGTTTAGATGAAGCAAAATAACCTCTACGTAAATAAAAATTGTAATCAGCCGTATTATCTTTGAGTAATTTAAAAAATTAACGATTAAGCAACTTAAAGGAATTGTTAAAAGTTTATTTAGTAATTGCTTAGATAAATTTAAGAACTATTAAAATGATATTAAATCCATTATTCTTCCAAATGTTATTAAATTAATATTGGGATAATTAACGTCTAAATAGAGTTTAACTTTATTTGTGAAATTGAGTATCAATTCTGTCTGAATTTTATTATTCATCATATTATTATTAAGAAATATTCATAATTTATAATTATTATTTTATATAATTTCAAGGTAAAAAGTTATCTTCTACTCTATCATCACCAATATTATGTCTAAGATTAGTTTATGGAAGGGGTTATATATTTCAACATTATGATAAATAGTTTAAATAAATAAATAAATTGTATTATTAGGAAAACGAATAGGATTATAATCACGTTATGGTAATCTAATTTATTCATAATTACGTTAATATCTTATTTATAATAACCATTCATTTTTTCTATTTTTCTTTCTGGTTTTATGAATTATTCAATATATTCTTCATATGATTATCACATTGTTCTACATAATTATTAAACAAGAAACTTATTACCTCAATTAATTTATAAATATATAAATTCAATATGATCAAGATAATCTGAATAGATTTTATAGTAATTACCTAAAACTTTTTAGAATTCTTTTATAACTTACATTTAAAAGTTTATATTTAACATCTCTCGATTTAACTTATACAGTTCTTTCAAAAGACAAACTAGTTTTTTCATACATTTCTTATTTGCAATAATAAATTCCTAACTATCAAATAGTTTGTATAGAAGAATTCAATTTGATTTATTGAATAGATTTAATGCTTATGGTTCATTATCAATCTATTTAATTATTTATTAAATAATAATACTCTTGCGAATGATAAACCTAATTTTGGCAAGATATTTCGATCATTAGGTACTTTAATCATAACCTTTAAATACCATTTAATTGCTTATTTAGGCTTACAAGTCACTTCATATAATGTGGCCATTTAATATAAAACTACAGATATACAAACAATAGTTTATCGTATATCTTATGCTTATAAAATATTCAATCTTCCTTAAATTTCTCTTTTTCTAATCTCACTTAAATATGACCAATAATTTTTATATTTTAATCTCATTTCTTAGAAGCTGCAGGTATTAAATTTATGTCATTTTATTATTTCTTTTATTCAAAATATTTATTTCCTATATTAACTTTGCTTCCTTTGCTTTTTCTTAATAATTTAGATAAGTTTCCTCTTGATTTAGATATTGCACTTTATTTTATTAAAGTATTTATTTATTTCTCTATTTATTTAAATTACTCTTCAGGATTAGTTAAAAGCTTAAGTTAATTCAAATTTATTTAATTCTGAGTAGAATTAAATGGATTCTTCTTCCAACCTAAGTTTGCCCTTCTATTTGATGTCAAACCTTTTCTATATGCTTTCCCTCTAGAAATTTATTGTCCATCTGGTATAAGCTATTATGTTTAATCTCATTACAATCATTAGTTACTAAAATATTTTAAAAATTGTAATTAATAGTAAGATGTTACCCTTAATTAAAATTATTACCACCTATACCAAATTTAACCATATTAAAATTAATTCATAATATATTATTATTTAAATTTATAATTGTATTTACTATACAATAATATTGTATTAATGTTATGCAAATATAAACAATGATAAAATCAACCAATATATTAGACAAATCTATTGTAATTCATCCTATATGAACGATTTAAATCATCATAAATCAAATTTTAAAAAAATACATCTTCCCATAATGTTTTGCAACCTTCTTTAACAATATATAATGGAACATATTTAGTAAATTTGATACTAGAAATAATGAATGAAACATACTATCTTAATTAGTTTACAAGAGTCCATATAGAATTGTTTGCTTATAGATCATCTTCAAATAAGTGTTTAGTATTATATTCTGAATGGAATAGAGCTGTTAATTAAATGGGATCATGTAATCTAAATAACACATAGTTTTACTTGGATATATATAAAATTAAGCAATATCCACAATCCATTAAATAGAGACCTCCATTTTATAATTCTTCCTACACCAAAGACAATTATTATGGATATACAAATTAACCCTCATCATCATAAACACATTCATTTTGCTGTAAATTAGTTACATTATATAATTAAGGTATCAAATATGTAACTAATTCATCATAGTGTAAATATTAAAAGATTATTCGAAAGTAATTAACATAATCAGTTAATATACTTTATTAATCATATGAATAATTGAGTATATTTGATTTCATTATTCCTAATGTGTATGCATGCATTTAATCCAAACTTACATTGTATGATTTACAATTATAAAATATTGATCTTACAGTAGAAATAATGAATTCCTTAACAGGTATCAAATCTTTGACTGAATTCATTTGAAATAAGGCCATTTTAAAGATTGTCATAGCTAAAGTACATTAATCAATGTTTTAATATATGGTTTTGACAGAATTACTCAAAGGAATGCATAAATTATGAACTCTAATTCTTCTTTCACTTTTTGATGATGTATATAACAAGGCAGTTTATATAAAAAGATGATCATATTATAGATTTGGTTCTGTTAATTCTAATTCATATATTAATGTCTTTTAGCTATCAATAATTAATAAGGAATTTTACTCATCACAATTAGTTAGATTCAATAAATCTGATGTTTTTACAACATAATTGCCATAAACATGTTTTACTTTCCATCCTATTGAAGTTCTTATTCTAAATACTGATTCCCAAGCGTAATCTCTACTCAATATTTCTTTAAGATCATTCTTAAATCTTGTAGCTTAAATATATTAGTAAAATCTTCTTACTATAAACTGTAGGGTCATCATAATAAAATAAATCTCCATTTAAATAAGTAGCTAATTAATTAATTGTATATAAATTCATGAAACCAGCAGGAACAACAAAAATAGAAGGACAAATATATTAAAAATACATAGTTTCAGTTTATTATGTTAAAATGGATTTACTTTTATGTAAATATTATTATTATGTTTACTTACTATTTTCTATGATACTTAATTCTTTAATTGGTGAAGATAATAAAATGATTAATTTAGCTCCATTATCTTAAATTAATTTTTAAGTAATTTTCAATGCCTCTATAAACTTATTACTTCTTAGTTAAGGTTTAGGAAATAAATGATTTAAAGAATTCAAAAATGCAACAATAATATCTTTAGAGTCTTATAAATTAAATAGATATTCTCCAGGTATAGGTAATTCATTATCATCTGTTAAGACATACATCTAAACTTATTTTAGTTTTTAATTAAAATTGTATAAATGAATCTAAGAATCAAATGTTAAAAAACCAAATAAAGTTCTTTCATTAAATTAATCACTTATTATTAATTCATTCATCACTTATCCTATAATACCTAAAAGTGCTTCACTTTTGGTTGAAACATCAATCATAAAAAAATATGCTGGAGCCATAGGTGGTCTAACTTAATATTCTTATCCAGCTTTAATATCATATGATCCCATTCTTAATTCAATTCTATCGATTATATTGTCTTTTGTTATAGTATTGAATCGAATCTCTGTTATCAAACTACAAAGATTACATCTTAAATAATCATAACCATCTAGAAATTTCATAAAAGGATTCAAATAAGCCCTACAATTTGCACATCTAATTATAGGATATCCTCCAGTATTCACTGATATAAATCCATCCTATACTGATTATCCATAAGGTTAAATCATCACACCAAATGGGATCTTCGCATCTATATATGTTTATTTTGAATGTGGAAATACATTCGATGTACATCTAATATTATTATATGAAGCATTATATTCTTAATAATCTACATTTTTATTATTTTTCATTTATTCCTCTTATCTTACTTCCCCCTAATCTTATTAAGCATATTATTTATCTAATCTTCCATTCTTTTCTAGAATCTTTTTATGAACATCCATTTATATAATTATATATTATTAAAAATATTTGTACATTCAAAAAATTATTTATATATATTTATATATATAAAATCCTCCTTCTCTTTCAAATTAGATTGAAAACTTCAGCTGATATTAACTAATCAATTCATAACCTAAACCAATAAATCTTTATTTGAAATCATTTGTTTCTTTAAAATATGAATTTCCATAATTGACAACTGGTCGTAATTTTTTCAAGATATCCCTATGCCAAATACTTATATTAGGATGAGGTTATATTAATTACACTATTCTAGATAAAATAAGAATTTAAACACTTGAAAAGGTTCTATAGAGAATTTGGACTCAAAAAAAATTATAATTTATATCTTATAATTATTTACTATTTCAAAATAAATTAATTTCTTTAAACTAGAATCTATATTTGTTATAATATATAAAATAATTACCAGAAAAAAAGTATATTTATATATATTTTCCATAATTTATAATTTCAAAATATATTTAATTGATCAATAAACTTCCAACAACTACATCCTTTAATATCCATCGATAATTAAAATTAATAATATCACACCTTTTTTATTCTTATTTACTTTTAGAATTCTTTTTCTGCTAATCTAAAATTGTTTATAATTTATAAGCCTACGCTTATTCCTTCTAATTTTCAATTACTCTTCCTATTTATACCATTTCTTCATTCTTCTATTATTCAAACTTTCATATTTTTTATTTATATTCTTCTTTCTTTTATTATTTTTAGTCTTTTTTAAATCTTTTCTATCTCCTCCTCTTTGTTATGAGAGTTCTCCTTTTAATCTGTTTTTAATTCTTTTATTTCTTAAAGTAATGGAAATTATTTATTATCTTTTTCTTAAAATTTATTTTAATTAACTTAATTTAGGAACTAATTTTAATAATAAAAATTAATTAAATTATTTTTTTATTTATTTTTTATGAATGAGAATAGATTATCAAATAAAATAAGTGAAGAAAGGAAGAGGTTTTTCTTTCTGTTACTGTAAAATATTCGGTTATCTTATAACTAAATCACTGATTTAAATTCAATATATTATAAAAATTTAAGTTTCATTAAATTGTTAATTAAATATTAAGAATTTTGGGCATTTAAAATATCTTAAAATTGTTGTATATTTAAATAAGGAAATGAGTATTAAAATTCTAAAGACTATCATGTATGATAAAAGTTTAATTTAGTGTTATATCTCATTAATCGACAATCATAAAGTAATATTAATAAAGAATAAGATTTAATAATAGAGTATTATATATTTTTTATGATTAATAGTATTTATTCTAATAAAATTTGATTATTTTATAAAAGAATAATGAGGATTATTAAAAAGTTTTGATTTCATTATTAAAAATCAAATCTTATATGTAAAATTAATAAACATTTGACGAGCTTAAAATTAATGGTGTAACATACATAAAATTAGAAAAACTTGGTGAAGGGGCAGAAGGTGATGTTTATAAAGGGTTAAATACTTAAACTAATGAAAATGTGGCTATTAAATAATACAAATAATAAATTAATGAAAAGGAATACAGTGCATTGTAAGCACTTTAAAAATAGAATTTGAAACATATTATTGGAATAAAAGAAGTATTATATTAGGAATAAAAAGAAACAATAATTATTATGGAATTTGCTGATGGAGAATTCAATGAATTTATGAAAACAGATGATTATCAACAATTAAGTATTGATTAAAAAAATAAATATTTTATTTAAGTAATAAAATAAAATGATTATATTAGATGGCAAAAGGAGTTAGTTAACTACATAAATTGGGATTATTTCATAGAGATTTAAAACCAGAAAACTTTGTCTATTTTAATAAACCAAACAATTAAAAAATTATAAAATTGATTGATTTTGGAAAAGCAAGAAATATAGAGAATAATAATGATGAACTTCGGAAAACAATTTAAGTTGGAACACCTTAATATGGAGCTCCAGAAATTATTACGGGTGATTATGATAATTAAATCGATATCTGGTCTTTGGGACTAGTTTGGTGGGAAATGTTAACAAATGAATCATTCTTTAAAAGTACCAATTAAAAAAAAAAATGCGATCAATAAATGATAGATTCAAAAATTGATTCTTGTAAGTTTATATAAGTAAAAGAGAGTAATTTTCTAAAAAAAATGTTAAATTTAGAAGCTTCTAAACGACTTTAATTAAAAGAAATTATATACGCTTATAAGAAATAAGATGGCAAATAATAAAATTTAATCAATATTAATTAAAATTAAAGCACATACAGAATAATAAATAAAATTGGTTAAGGGGCAGAATGTATTGTGTATAAAGGGCAAAATACTTAAACGAATGAAATTGTAGCTATTAAAGAATACAAATAAATAAATCAAAATGAATTAAAAGCTATTTAAGCAATTAACTAAAAGAATTACAGTCATATAATTGGAATAAAAGCAGTCTAATAAAATTCTAATTCATGTATAAAAATAGTTATGGAATTTGCGGATGGAGATTTTTATAAATTTATGTCAACATAAGATTATTAAAGATTGGGCTATGATTAAAAAAATTAATATTTTCTTTAAGTAATTTAATTATATGATAATTTTTAGATAGCAAAAGGGGTTGATTAACTTCATGATTTGGGATTTTTTCATAGAGATTTAAAACCAGAAAATTTTGCATTAATTGATATACCAAACAATTAAAAAATTATTAAATTGATTAACTTTGGTTTTGTTAAAGAAACATCAAATAAGATGGCAAAGACTGTATGTGTTGGAACACTATTTTATATAGCACCAGAAGTTTTAACAAATATTTAGGGTTTAATTAAATATTTTTATGATAAATCAGTTGATATTTGGTCTTTAGGAATCATTTGGTATGAGATGTTAACAGGAGACACATTATTTTATGGTAATTTATATTGATAATCTTAGGTAATGATTAATAAGAAATAATTAATCAAATCTTGAAAATTAGTTAATAAGATATCGATTAAAAAATTTAATAAAACCAGAATATATAACAAAAAGAAAAAGATATAATTAAAAAGATGCTGAGAAAAAATTCAATTTAAAGAATATAATTAAAAGCGATAATTGCTGCTTATAATTAAAATGATTCAAAGCAATTTCCATTTTTAAAATTTCCAATCTAATAAAATTAGAATTAGCTTCAAATATAATTCTAATAATAAATATAATATCCTTAATTAACAGCAAAAAATAACTAATTATAAATACAACCTTAAGAACTTCAGAGATAAATTAAAGATTTAGAGGAAAGAGAAAATAAGAAATAGTAAGAGAGAGAAAAAATTTCATAAGAATTAAAATAATAAATGGAAAAAGAAGAGAAATAAAAAATATAAGAGTTCGAATAATAGAAGAATGTTTAAATGGAATAAATATAAAGAGAAATGAAAAAGAAAAATGAATTAGAGCTTGCTTATAAATTATAAATAATTTTAAAATAATAGAGATTAGAATTAGAAGACTCGATAAGAATAAAAGAAAAAGAATTAAAATAATAAAAAGTAGAGACTCAATAAAAGGAAATAAATTAAGAATTGTTAGCTTAAATAAAAATTTAGTAAGAAATATAATTTTAAAATGAAATAAATGAATTCAAAAAAAGGAAAGAAGCCGAATAATAGCGAATTTTCTAAAAGTATCTAGAGAAGGAAAAATAGGAAAGAGAAGAAAAAATTAAATACAAAGTATAAGAGGAAGAAAAATTGATTAAAGAATAATTAGAAACAGATATTTAAAATAAATATCTATTAGAATATTCATAGAAAGTTAATGAATTGGAAAAAAAATAGGAATGCGAAAATTAAAAATAATTAGAGGATAAAAAATAATCCTTAATAATAATATTATAATCTTAGTAAAATACAATATAAATGTTTATATCAAATCTAAAATAAAAATTATAAGATATAAATGAAAAATATATACAAAATGTAAAAAAAAATGAGATAATGGATTTCATAAATAATGAACTCTAAAAATAAAATGAAAAACTCAAAGAAAATTAATAGAAACAATTATATATTTAATAAGTTTCTTAATTAGAGTAACTATATGGATAGGATATTTAATTGTCTTTAGAAATTTAATAAGATTAACATGAATAAAATGAGCTTATTAATTATATTTAAGAATAATCAATTTTAGTTGAAAAGTAAGCAAGAGATGAATAAAATATATAGTAAAATCAAATAGAAAGTCAAAAATAAATAGAACAAGAAGAGAAATTAAAAAAAGAAAAATAAAAATTTCAATATTAATTTGCTAGCTTACAATAATAATGCAATACATTTTAAAACAGTATTTTAAAATTTGAAGAAAAAATTAAGTTTTATGACAAAATTTAATATTAAATGTAAGGCTAAGAGTAACTTCAAGAAGTTATACAGAAATTTTATAAAATGATATAAGAATTATAAGTTTTATAATAATTATAAGTTTTATAATAATAAGAAAAAATGATTAATGAACTTTGGTAATCGTAATAAATTATTAGTTATTAATCTTTTCATAGTAAGATTTAAGATATTGAATCAACTTAAAATAACCTTAAAATTTTAATTGATTAATCAGATCAAACTATTGAAAAAATTGATAGCTAATTTATTGATGAACAATTTAATCAAATACATAAATTAGCCAATAATTTAAATGATTACTAGGATAAATTTAAATATCTATCTAATAAAAATTAAAAATATAAAAATAAAATAAATGAAGTAATTATTAAAATAGGAAATAGTTTTAAATAGTTAAATAATTTGAATTAAATATTAACTTAAGGAATATTTGAAAATTATCAATAGTTCAATCGAATACTAGATTCAACTAATCAAGATATATACGAATTTTTCAAATAATATAATTAATTGCATGAACAAATTTACGAAGATTAATAAATTGAATAACAAAACGTTGAAAGAATTAAAAAATTAATAAATATAGAAGGATAATTAAAAGAGTTTATAGATAAAATGAATAAGCTAAAAAACTAGGTTAATAATTTAATTAATAATCAATATTGTAATAATGAATAAACTAAGAATTTAATTATGGATAAATAAAGAAAAATTGATGAAAATATGAATTAAATTTAAGATGAATTTTAAAATTTTAAAGAATTCAATCAAATTGCTTACTATGAAATTAAAAATCAAGTAATATCCTTGCAATAATTTTAAGAGAAATTAAGAAAATAATTTGATGATGAATAAGAATAAGTTATTTAACTATAATTAGTAATTTAAAAAATAGGAGCCGAAAATAAAAGTGGATTAGAAAAGGAATTTTCACAATTAACTCAATAATTATAATAAAAATTAATGTAATTTACAAAAACACTTTAATCAGTCAATCTTGAATAAGATTAAATTGAGTGCTATAAAAAAATGAATGAGAAAAGAAACGCTTTGTATAATTAACTCAAATAAGAAATATTCATCTTAGAGAATTATTATAAACTAAATCAAAAAAACTAGATGCTAATTAATTAAAAATTATAAGAACTTTAAAATAAATAGATATTTGATAAATTAATAATCAAACTTAATTAATAATTGAATTTTAATTGTAATAAAGCTAAAAAATTAGAAGAAGTTTTGAGAAGTGTTCGTAATAAACCAAATGAAATTTAATTTAGCAAAAATAACCTAATTGATTTATATGAATAATTAAAAAAAAAAGAATAAAAATTATAATCAGAAATAACTAAGATAAATCTTTCAGAATAAAATTAATAAGTATATCCATCAACTTTTAATGAATTAAAAATGGAAATTTAAAATTTAGATTTTGAGATAGAAAAATTAATCTAAGAAATTCCTAAAGATAATTAGATTTAATAATTCAAAAACGAATTTACAATAAATTTAGAATTTTATGAACAATTATAAGCTTTAGTTAATTATATAATGTAGTATCATTTAACAAGATATTATTAAGTAATTAAAGAAGATGAACTTAAATAAAAAGAGATATGGAATGGGATATAAACGCATAATGCATATAAATATGCTATTTAATATAAAATAACTGAATAAATAGAAGAAAACACTTAGAAAGAGAAGAAAGCTTAAGATTTATTGAAGATATACGAAAATATTCTGTTTAATGATTACAATAAGAAGATGATTGATGAAATGGAAAGAGATTATGAAGAAATCAAGTAACAAATTGAAGTTTTAGAAGATAACATAAAATAAAAAAAATTAGTAACACTTAAGGCTACTTTAAAAGATGAAAAAATAATAAAAGAAATTATTAACGAAAAATAATATTATAAGATTACAGAGTTTACATAGATGATAATTTGTGAAATAATATCGAAATAAAACAATAAATATTGAATAAGTATTTATGTTATAATAAAATAAATTATATTTTTTTTTATATAAATAAATTTCAAAGGCAATTGCTTAAACCGTAGTTAGTTGTTAAAATTATTAGATAAATATAAGAAATTAAATATATTCAATATGATGGGATTTGTTTTATTAGATGAAGTAAGTGTCTCACATTATTTTAAATATTTTAAGTCATAGAACAACCTTAAAGCTTATTATAATAATATTAATTTATAGAAAGATTCCAAAGATATATTAGGTAAATAGATAAAGACCCACTTTCTGATTTCAATTTTATAAAAAATATGAGCTTCATCTAAAAATCAATTCAAAAACATAAAATGTAACCTGATCCTTATTTTATGTTAAAACAGGTTATATGTTAATTTTAATTTTAACCTTTACTTTGAAATTCTTGATAACATTATAAATTATTTGAATTTAGTATACAATATTATTCAAACAATGATATTGAATTGAATAATAGTAGCCAAACTAAACTAAGAATAAAAACAAAGCAGATTGGATTATACTAATTTTAGAGTATAAAATCGATTAGTCAATATATTAACGCCCAATTTGATAAAGCAAATTTATTTCTTAGTTCGATTTCATAAAATAATAAGGTTTTTGATCATAAATAATATCCTTAAATTCTAATAAATCCCAGATAATAATTATAAATGAATATATTAAACATTATAGAAACTCTATTCTAATCAAATATTTTTCAAAATAATCGTCAAAATGATAATAATAAAAATCAAAATTAAATAATGAAGTATGTAAATTTTTTAATGATTATTAAAAATTTGTTTGGATAAAATTTGATTATTTGATTTATAAAAATGTGAGTATGATTTCAAAAAAAGGATTCGTCTAATTTTTATTTTACAATATAAAGGCAAAATCTAAAATGATAAATAAAAAAGGTTTTAGATAAAATCCTATTTTTTTTTTATGGTTTATAATAAAAGAAAATATAATTATTATATGAAGGGTTAGAAGGTATTGTTTATAAAGGTAAAAATGCATAAATGAATTAAATTTTAGCTAAATACATTGCAATTTTTGCAATAAATAAAAAGAATTACAGTCATATAATTGGAATAAAAGCAGTCTAATAAGAAAAGGATTCATAAGTAAGAATTTTTATGGAATTAGCGAATGGAGATTTTCATAAATTTACATCATCATATGATTATTAAAGCTTAATCTATAATCAAAAAAAGTAATATTTTTAAGTAATTTAATAACATGACAATTTTTAGATGGCAAAAGGAGTTTATTAACTACATAAATTTGGTTTATTTCATAGAGATTTTAAAACCTGAAAACTTTGTTTATATTGATAAGCCAAATAATCAAAAATTATTAGATTGATTGACTGTGGTTTTATAAAAGAAACTACAAATAAGATGAACAAGGCTAATGTTTTTGGAACAGCAGCTTATACAGCACCAGAGGTGATAGCAAAATTATAATATTAAAGTTTATATGATAAATCAGTTGATATTTGGTATTTGGAAGTCTTTTGGTATGAAATGTTAACAGGATAAAGATTATTTGAGGGTAATTTAAAATTATAATCTTAGGTAATAGTTAAGATGAATTAATTAATTAAATCGTAAATATTAGTTATCAAGATATTGAATAAAAAATTTAAAACAGCCTAAATATATAATATAAAGAAAAAGATTTAATTAAAAAGATGTTAAACAAAATTCCAATTTAAAGAATATAATTGCAAGATATACTAGCAAATTATAATTTAAATGATAATGATAATTAAAAATTTATCAAATAAATAGGCCGTTAAAATGTTGATATATAAAAAAAGGAAAATGATTAGAGAGAAAAGATTTAATAAGAATTAGAAAAGATCATAAAAAAAGAATATAATTAAAAAATATTAGAATTAGAATCCAAAATGGATGAAGATATGGGATAAATAAGAAGAGAAATAGAAAAGTAAAAAGATGAAGAGTTGGCTAATAAATTATAAATAATTTATGAATAACAGAAAAACGAATTAGAAGAGTAAATAAGAATAAAATAAATAGAATTAAAATAGTAACTAGAAAATGCTAAATTATAAGAATATGATAAAGAATAGTTAACTTAAATGAAAATTTTGTTAGAAATATAGTTTTAAAATGAAGTAAACTTATTCAAAATAAAGAAAGCAGAAGAATAATAACAACAAATTAAAGAATATGAAAAGAAGGAAAATTAGGAAATAGAAGAAGCAATTAGATAAAAAATATTAGAATAGGAAAAATTGATTAAAGATTAATTAGAAATAGATATATACAATAAATATCTATTAGAATACTCATTTAAAGTAATTGATTTAGAAAAATAATAACAATATTAAAATTAAAAATAATTAGAAGAAAAAAAATAATCCTTACTAATTCTATTATAATCTTAGTAAAATACAATATAAATGTTTATCTCAAACTTAAAATAAAAATTATAGCTTATAAAGGATTTAGATACATAAGTTTAAATAAAAAATTAATTAATAAATTTCATAGAAAATGAACTTAAAAAATAAGAGGAAAAAGTTAAATAAAATGAACAGAGATAATTAACTATTTAATAAGCTTTTTAATTAGAGTAAATTAACGGATAGGATAATAAAATATCTTTAGAAATTTCATCAGATATATAAGAATAAAATAACGTTAATAATTACATTACAGAACAATAAAGGTTACTTGAAAAGTAGGTAAATGATAAAGAAAAGATTGAATAATTGCAAAAAGAACAGTAGAAACAAAAAGAACAAAAAGAACAATTAAATTAAGAAAAACAAAAAATTGAATAATAATTTAATAACTTAAAATAAAAAAGTGATTCGTTTTAAGGAAATATTTAAAAATTTTAGGAGAAAATTAAGCTTTACAAGAAAATTTAATATTAAATGTAAGGGCAAGAGAAACTTTAAGAAGTTATCGGATAATACTAAAAAGTGATTTAAGATTTTTAAGTTTTATAATAATAAGAAAAAATGATTAATCAATTTGGGTTATCATAGCAAGTTATTACTTATTAATCCTTTAATAGTAAGATTGAGGAAATTTAATGGGCATAAAATAGACTTAAAAATTAAATTGATGAAACAAATATATCGATTGAATAAACTGATCAAAAATTTATAGATGAAAATCTTAGATAAATGGATCAGTAAGCCAATAATTTAAGTGATTACTAGGAAAAATTTATATATTTATCTAAGAATGGAAAATTTTAAAAAAAATAGACTAAATAATTCTTAAAATAGGAAACTGTTTTATTTAGTTAAATAATTTGAATTAAATATTAATTGAAAGATAATTTGAAAATTATCAATCGATTAATTATACAATAGATTCAATAAATTAAGATTTATATGATTTTTCAAAATAATATAATTAATCGCATGAATAAATTTACGAAGATTAATAAATTGAATAACATAATGTTGAAAGGATAAAAAAATTAACAAATATAGAAGGATGATTACTATAATTTATAGATAAACTGAATAAGTTAAAAATTTAAATAGATAATTTTATTAACAATTAATATTGTAACAATGAATAAACTAAGAATTTAATAATGGATAAATAGAGATAAATTGATTAAAATATGAATTAAATTTTAGAATAATTTAATAATTATAAAGGATTAAATTAATTTACATTGTATGAAATTAAAAATTAAATAATCTCTTTGTAATAATTTTAAGAGAAAATAAAAATATTATTAGAAGATGAATATGAACAAGTTATCTAATTATAATTAATGGTTTAAAAAATAGAAACTGAAAAGTTAAGTGAATAAGAAAAAGAATTGTTCGAATTAACTAACTTATTATAATAAAAATAAATGTAATTTTATAAAGAGATTTAATCAGTCTACATTATATAAGATAAAATTCATTATTTAAAAAAAATAAAGGAGTAAAAAGAAGGTTTATAAAACGAACTAAAATGAGAAATAGAAACCTTATGGAAATATTATAATCAATGTCTAGAAAATTAGGTGTTAATTAATGAAAAGTTAAAGGAATCTAAAAAAAAAGAAAATGCGTCATCAATTAAGTTGGTACAAATATTACAAAATTTTTAAAATAATAGTGAAGCCAAAACTAAAAAATTAGAATAAGTATTGGAATATGTGCAAAATAAACAAAATGAATTATTTTTTTAATAATATGGAAAGCAATATAATTGATTAATATGAATAATTAAAAACAAAAGATAAATAAATATAATTAGAAATAAAAGGCATAAATTCTTCAGAATAAAATTAATAATTAAATCCATTATAGTTTAAAAAACTAAAAAGGGAAATTTTAAATTTAATACTTCAAATAGATTTGTTAATCTAGGAAATTCCTTAAGATAATTAAATTTAATAATTCAAAAATGATTATAATCTTAATACTGAATCGTATGAAAAATTATATACTTTAGTTAATTATATATTGTATAGTTAAATAAAATGAATAAATGGATCAAAATACTGAGAGGGAAAGGACAATTAATATAAATTATAGGTATATGAAAATATTTTATTTAATGTTTACAATAGGAAGATGATTGACGAAATGGAAAGAGATTATTATTAAATCAAGAACGGAATAGAACTTTAAGAAAATATTATAAAATCAAAAAATTTAGGAAAACTAAAAGCTTGCATCAAAGATGTAAATTATATTAAAAGATACTATGATATGATTAATGAATTTTCTTAAATGTTTATGCGATAAATTATATTTATTCATATATAAATAATTTTAAAGTTAATTATTAAGCCATAATGATTAAATGGTTAATTGTTATCCAAAGAAATATAAGTTTATAACTTATTAAAATCATTTTTTTACAAAATTTACTCATTTAATATTTCAAAATCAAATTTATTTCTTGATTAAATCGTTAATTTCAATATTAAAATTCAAATCTTATATGTAAAATTAATAAAATTAGACAAATTTAAAATTAATGTTGCCAAATATAAAAATGAATAACTTGGTGAAAGGAAAGAAGGTATTATTTATAAGAGACAAAAACCTTAAATAATGAAAGTGTTATTTATTTTATGTTTTAGTTTTTATTCAATAATAAAAGAAATATAAATATATTTTTTGTGAATTAATCATTTACAATCTTGAAGTTTATAGTTTAAAACAAGATAAATCATGTTTTCGAGAAATTATTTATGATAATTTTGTAATCCATAATCTATTGTATTAATTTAATCTATTGATTAACTTCTTTTTTTTTATTTTTCTATTTAAAGATTAGGAGATTGTATTGA